GAATGCTGGACTGAACAGGGTTGGGATCTAGTTTTTAGAAGACTTCTCAATGATTGGGAGGTGGAAAGGGTGGCTGAGATATTAGGGATGGCTAGGTGGAGTGAACATAAATGCAAATGCCACAGACAGGATGTTGTGGAAGCACAACAAAGATGGCCTTTCCTCAGTCAACAGTGCTTACAGGAGGTCTCCAGATGATGGCAGGTAGACCAAAACACCTCTGGAACTATTTTTGGAAGGGGGATATTCCTACAAAAGTGAAATGCTTCACTTGGCTAGTGATAAAGGGTGCTTGTCTAACACAGGAAGTACTTCAGAAGAAGGGTAGACAGCTGGTCCCTAGGTGTTTTTTATGCAATTTGACAAGTGAAACTAACAGCCACCTTTTCTTGCATTGTAATTATACTGCTCAAATCTGGAATTTGGTCCTTAGTATTTCAAATCTGAATTGGACAATGCCAGAACGTACATCAAACGTGTTGAAGAGCTGGGTAAGGAGAGGAGGCACCAAGAGTCAGAAGAGATGGTGGAGGTTAATACCATCATGTATATGGTGGTCAGTTTGGAAGGAAAGAAATAGTAGATGCTTCAAAAATAGATCCAATTCCGTACACAAGGTCAAATGGAATTGTATAGTATCTCTACTTTTTTGGTGTAAACAGTTGTGTATAGTAGATACAGATCAGATTGTAGATTTGTTAGGAAGTTTGTAATTGACCCTCTTTGGTGGTGGCCAGCATGCCCTTAATGCTGAAGAATACAACCTTACCAGTTTCAAAAATAAAATAAAATACTAAATCAAAGTAATATACTGCAATGTAGGTAAGCACACAGTAAAACAGAGTTGTTCCAGGAGAACAAGAACTTTAAAGAAGCAAAGAACTGAAACTAAGGGCAAGAATCAACAATACAGCAGGAAATGAAATCAAATAATATAACAAAATAAAGCAACTAAGGTGGTTCACAAACACGTAGCTATTCAATAAATGAGGCAGTAAGCAATGACAATTGTGTTAAATGTAAATATAGTTGAGAGTCGAGACAGAACCTGTTTTGCACTTGAAGGACACAGGAAACCTGGTTTTGGTAATCGCCAGAGTTTGCTGCTGGTGTTATCTGAAGGTTGTCGGTGATCTGTACCGGCAGATCTGTTCCTTTATGGCTAAATCTGGACGCCGGTGGAGGAGGATGGTTGGAACCCTAAACCGGCTGGTACTCGCTGGTGGTAAGATGGACAGAGGAAGATGACAAGGGGTTCTTGTGGGAGTAAGTTAGGCTTAGGCTTCTATGTTGCTGTGTAAGTTGCGACTTGTGGGAGTGAGTTGGGCTTCTGGTTTTGGTGATGTAGTAGGCAATAAGTACGATGAAGAGGGTGCACCGTGTTTAGAGGCAAGACGGAAGTTTTCAATATTTAAGCTATATTTTAATACTGACATATAGTTCAGTTGTTTTGAATGTTGTGTTTTCACAATTATACTTCGTGGTATTCTTTTTTAATTAAAATATGATTTTCATTTTACTGAATTTGGTCTTCATTAATTTTCGGGTCAAAGTGCCTTGTAAATTGAAGTTGTATTTATTTCGAGTTTGCTTTTTATTCTGTAAGTTTTACTATTTCCTTAGCTTTGGTCCTCATGTTGTGTTCCCATCACTTTATCTATGTTTTCTTCACCCCATGCACCAGGTTTTGTTCATTTTATTTGATACTAGACTCTGTCTCCTGCCATACATTTGCCTGATTATTATAGATAAACCTTTAAAGGCAGTTTCATGGCTTGAGTACAGTTCGTTATGCATGCATTGAACTTACACCTAGGTGTATTGACATAGTTTCGCATTGAAATCCAGGGTAAATATGCAAAGGTTGAAGTAAAAGATGAGGAAGATGGATTAGATGAAGAGGAGGAAGAGCATGGTGATACCCTCTGTGGGGCATGTGGTGAGAATTATGCTTCAGATGAATTCTGGATTTGTTGCGACTTATGCGAGAGGTGGTTCCATGGGAAGTGTGTGAAGATCACACCTGCGAAGGCTGAGCATATAAAGCAGTACAAATGTCCATCATGCAGCAACAAGAGGCCACGCCCTTGACATCCTGTTGAATTTTCTGAGTTCCACCGTTATATTTGTCTCCTGTAGGACTCAGCACAATGCCATATTACGTACATTAACATGTGGCATGTTCATCCAAATCTGGTCGTTGCTCTTTGTTTTTTTGGATAATCTGCTAGGTAAAATTGCTACGGTACTCCTCCATTTGACTCTAAATTGGAGGACATAGGGATCTTCTTGTAGGAAAGAATCTTGCCGTGATTAATGCTAACTTGTGTAAAATTTAGCTGTTGAACCATTTGGACCCTGATGTTTGATTTTGAAAATTGTGTTAATCTTGCTGGTATGAATCGATTTTGAATGTTTCTATGAGTTTTTGTGGTTGCAGCTTGTGATCTAGTTGACTAGGCATAGAATAGGTAACGTAAAATAAAGATGGAAGTAATAATGAATTATAGGAGGAGAATGAGTTTGAGCGTGAGATGCGAAAGGTGCTAGTGTTGGTTCCTTAGATGCATCATATATCTATTTCTGTTATTAACTCTATCTGCTATGCTACTCTTGTGGGTTATCAACTACTTAATTAGATTATGTATTGTCCATTTAAGATTGTGTAATATAATAATCTAGCTGTGTTCACCCACTTTGATTTGTCGAGAAGAACCTCTCTTGTTGGTATAGAGTCATTTACATACCTAAACAGGAGCTATGGGTAAGAATGAATATAAAGCAAAAAGAGAGGTCTCTGTCAGCTGGAGATAGTCCTGTCACCTGTGTAACAATTTCCTTGCACAATCTGTCTGCTAAAGAAGTCCCTCTTTGAAATCTACTGATCACATTTCTGTCTCTCCAAAACAAATATACCAATAGTCCACTGCCCAGATTTTCTTCAGGGTAATGAATAAAGGGAGTTAATTCCGAGATAAATTTTCAGTATCCGTTAGTCCCTTGTTTGATTATAAAGTATGTGATAACTTATCTCACGAAAAAGACATAAAGTCACAACTGAAGTTGTCTCGAATTTTCAAAACGACACCTTAACTTTGCAATCGTCCTATTACCCCACTAAACAATTTTGAACAGATATTATTATATCATTTTTCGATCAACACCAGATTTTAAGAAGCAAGTGTGTTCACACACCAATCATTGCATGACACGTGTTAATTTAATTAATTTTTTTTTTCATTTTTAGGGTTTTCTTTATTTCTCTCTTTCTTATTTTTTGACTTATTTTAATTTTGATTTCATCTTAAATTTCACTTCATCTTCCACCTCCCACTTCATCCCTCTATTTTCTTTCTTTTTCTTCACCTCCCACCCTCACCCCAACCCTCCATGTCAAGTCACTCCACTCCCATTTTCTTTTCTTTTCTTTTTCTTCTTCTTCTCTGGTCAAATTCATTATAAAATTCATACTATTTTTTAGACTTTATTGAATTATTGATAACAAAATTAATTATTTTTCTAAGAAAATTTAAAATTATGAAGGTATCATCAACTACTCCTTTTCATATATAACTTCAAAATTAGAAATGATAATTTTAAAAGAATCAATGAATTTCTCGAAATTTGAAAGAACTTAATTGAAATTGGATAAAAAAACTATATGATACTTCCTAATCATCTTGAAATCTAATGGGTTTATCAAATTGTTCGAAATGTAAGAAAATATTTTGATAAAGTTTTAAAATTAAAGAGAGTAAAACTAATATAGTAAAAAAGGAAGGTGAAGTTGTGATAAAAATGGTGGCATTGAAAGTGAGAAGCTTCAATGGAAATGACAATGAATTTTTGAAGAAGAAGGAAGAAAGGAAGAGAAAAAATAAAAAGGAAAAAAAGTTAAAATAATAAGAAAATATAGTTTATAATAAAATACTTGTAAAAATAAAATTATATTAGTTATTTTAGATTGTTCACTCTCTTTGAGAGAGTGCACACCACTCTCTATGTCAGGTGGACAAAAAATGATATAATATCTGTTCAAAATTGTTTAGTGGGGTAATAAGACGATTGCAAAGTTAAGGTGTTTGTTTGAAAATCCGAGACAACTTTAGTGGTGACTTTATGTCTTTTCTCCACGATTAATTATTAGTACTGGGATAATTTATCTCTACTTTTGGGTGGAATTGTAAACATGACAAAAGTATTCCTTTAAATTCTTTTTATACATCATATTTCATTTCCATGTATATTCACATTATTTTTAGTACTATGTATATAATATCCACAACTTTCGCTACTTGTTATTTTTATGAAAATTCTTCATATTTTTCTACTAAGAAATTTCACTATATAAATATAATCTTCATTTATGAATTTATTTGACTATTTCTTATGTTTGTTTACATACTGAATTACATATCTTACAATTTAAGAGTGTCACGTGCTTAAATGAAATGATACAAATAATAAATCATCTTTTACTTTAACAATTTAAGATGTAAGTTTTGTTTTTAAACAAACACAGTACAATCACGAGAATGCACATACAAAATATTTAAGCTAAATATTATTATTTTTGTTTGAATAGAATAAAGCAAAAGAGTGAATAAAAAATAACTCGTCTCTAGTATTCAAACCAAATGAGTAGTAGCTCCTGAACACAAATAACTTAAAACATATGCTGAAATAGGTTATGACTTATGCTAATAGAAATATGATTCAAAGGAAAATCACAACATCAGGAACAAATCTTCTATTATTACCAGGAATCACACGATTCTCAGTACATGACAACAGCTAACCATGTACAAAATCAAGCACATTTACAAAAGAGAACAAAAACTTAGCAATATATTCCTTGACAACTGCACAAACATACACTGGTTCAGCACAATCGCAATGGACGTACAGAGACATTTAGGCAGAGCACGTCAATCCTTTGTCTCCTGCACAACTCACAAGCTCTTTCATGTTCAATATAAACTTGCAGCTGCATTTGGGTGGTCACTTCGTCCCAATGAATAACAAAGTTTCCACCACTACCTCAGTCTGATTGTTTCATTAGGTAGTATCACATTTGGATTCCGGATATGTGGATTTAGTGCTGCTATATCCTTCCATTTAGTGCCTGTACCATGAACCCTAGAAGATATGCTCCATAGTGTATCACCAGGCTGCACAGTGGTTGTTGCTGATGAAGCAGCTTCCTTTGAAGATTTGTTAGCAGCCTTTGACTTCATAAATGGATGTTTATTTTTCTTTCCCATTCCATTAGCAACCAACCAACGAGAGCCAGACTGTTCTTGAGTTGTGGAACCCCATAATTTCTTTTTACCTTGCTCACTCTTCAGACCTGCAACATGCACTTCAGTTATTTTGTACTGTGCGATTGACTCAACCTCGGGGATTTTCTCTTCTTTGATGTCCACATTCGAGTCATTTTTCGGAGGTGCAGATTCATCGTCATCATCTTCATTGTTGTTTCTAACCTCAGAAACTGTGCTGTATATCTTAGGTTTAGGTGGTACAAACACTCTCTCTACCTGGACAAGAGCAAGCATAGGTGTACCAACTGGCTCATAATTCCGCAAGGGATCACGGAGCTGCACCATTAGTGCCACTGTAAAGTTGTTTCCCAGCAAACCACATTTCCTACTCTTTCCGCGTCTCTTCTCTCCCTTTGACCTGCCCTGAAACAAGTCTGTGCTGATAGCATGATGAGCTGCCAGCAGTTTGGAGGTTCGCTCGCTAATCTCATCTTCATCGTCAATCTCTCCCGAGTCCAACCTCATCCATTCATCAAGTGTCAGAGATAAGCCCATAAGCCCATCAACGTCATCACCATTGTCTTTAATGTCCAGAAGCTTCAATCCACCTGCCCCTTCCAGACCTACTGCTCCACCCAGATTGACCTTCTGTCCCTCAAAGGCTGAATACTTGCCAATAGATTGAGCACTGATGTTTGAAGGCGCATCCTCATCTGACATGCCTGTCTGTATTCTCAAACCCTCAATTGAAAGGGCTTCAATTTTATCCATTGCCAAAGGAGCAAGATCTTCCAAGGATACATATTCGGCGTCCATGTGAGTGGTAGAACTTGTTTCCAACTTACTAGACATTGGTCCATGCGATTCTGCCTTTTTACTTTGAATGTTTTCCATATTTTGCCCAAATTCAAACTCATGTTGGAATAAATCTTGTCTGCAAAACAATTTCATAAAAGAAATAAGTAGGTGCAAGTATATGTATATTTGCAGTAAGGAAACAGCAACCCAACTCTAAAATGCAACATGTAAACAGAACAACAAACCTTTCAGGTCCTAAGCTCGGTGCATTTTCCCAGGCAATTTGTTCCACTGTCTTCCCAGTTATATCTTCCAAAGGCATTAATTTACTTGCCTGCATCGAGAGCTTTTCTATTCCAATGGAGGCCAAGTGCTGCAGTATGTCCATTATACCAGACCCCATTTCTGCAGGCACCACCAACGGACTGGATACCTGCATTATTAAACTCCCTCCACTCTTAGCATCATTGAAAATTGCAGGATTCATTGACCTTAAGAATCCTCCATTTTTAGTTTGTAGCAAGTTTCCTAGGCCTTCTCCAAGAGGAGGCAATTGGTAAGGGTCTTCAGGAGGCATATCGATTGGGCTGCCAAAACCACAAGAGCTTTTTGGTGGAGAACATTCAAATGACTTCTCATTCAAGCCCCATTCACGCATCAAAGCCTCGGTCTCCAAGTCCTCCAACATGTAAGCTCTTGTTTTGTTACTTGTTTCCTCAATTGCTATCTTGGGTATCTCCTCATACGATTGTGCAGAAGATGAGTAACCGAAATTCTCAGAGATGCTCCTCCACTGAGATACACTTGGAGCATCAGAAGAAAATTCTTCAATGTCCATATCAAGGTTAAACAAAGAACACCCACCAGCCAGAGTGTCCTTCTCAAATTGCCTCAATAATCGTTCTCGTGGGGAATCAGGCTCGCTCTCAGAACTTGGGCCAAATGGACTATGCTCAATCCCTAGCATATCCAGGAAATCACTAGCCACGGATTCAGTAATGTAATCCACGCTGAGGGATTTTCCCTTCCTAAGCTCTTTATAGTTCTCTTTAGCGTCCAAGTAACCATCATTATTTATAACTTCATTCTCATGTTCCTGAGAGTATAATCCCTCGTTTTCCAAGTCAGAGAAACTGTTTAATGCAGATTCCAATTCTCTCATAATTAATTCTTTTGCTGACTCATCTGTCTCAAAATTGTTGGCACTCACTGCAAGGTCTTCATTCTCACTGTCAAGACCCTTGGCCAATAGTACAGGCTGGGCCTCCTCTTCAATGGCCATCTTCAAGGTACTATCAGGTACAAGTCTTTCTGTCACAGCATCATCAACAGATTTCACCGAATCGTCTTCTTTTCCCTCCAGTTCCTTCAAAGGATGTTCTATGCCTTGCTCTATAACAGAAAAATCACCAATTTCACACTCGTTTTCAACATTTCCCTTCACAGGATCTGATAACAAGGCCAATTCTGGTTTGAGGTTATCAACAGTATTAGAGAACACATCAATCTCTGGTTTGAACTCAAATGAAGCTTCCAACTTCTCTTCCTCAAACTTCTGATACAGCACTTCTACAGATTTGTAGAGGGCAGAATTCGGCACCGGTAAAATCTCATGAAGATCTTTTACATCTTCTGCAGACTGCTGTGAATAAGAAGACCAAGCAGGAAGGCTTCCAGATCGCCTTATTATGCTCAGCTCATCACTTTCCTCAGATTGTGCAAGAAGCTTTGCCGCACCACTGTTCTGCCTCAAGTTCCGCCCCTCAAGAACATCCCTATTGCTAGGAAGCGTGCCAGATGTGTTCCCATTTCCCACTATATGATACCCAAAACTAACATTCATACTTGCCCCTTTAGCCTTACCTGACAATTTGAAACTAGTTGTCCACTTACCTGAGCTTCTCTCATCCTCCAATTCTTCCAGTGTAAGAGGAAGCAACCTGGTAAGGTCAACCCGATGCTTCCCCAAGTCAAGTTCAGGAGTAGCGCAAACTGAAGCATACAACAAACAATGTTTTGCCTCATACTTTGCTGAATGATGAGGACCATTCCTACTGCCATATATAGAACATGTATAACTCAACTCTTCCTCAAACTCAGCTACACCTTCACAAACCAACACAGGACATGTCATCAACTCACCATCTCGCCTCCTCCAATGCACGACAAGACTAAGGTCATTAAAAAATGCTGGTATCCCTTCAATGCAATGGACTTGAAGCGAAAAACAGCAATTGAACCTTTGGTTTTTAACATGAGTTAATGACTTTAAGCTCTTCCAACTCCATGTGGACTTCTTATTACTATCCTTCTCTAATAAATCTCTACCACTATCTTTATTCTTCGACTTGGGCTCCGGTAAACGTGCTCTCCCAACAGACTTAGAACGACTACTGGCCGTAGACATCAAAAGCCGAGGTTGGGTTTTATCCAAATATAGGGCTTTACTTATAGTTTCAATATCATTCAACAACTTCCCATTTCCAGGCTTCTCACCAATTTTTTTCCTAGAATCCATTCTTGATAACATTCTTCTCCACAAAAACTACAAAATTAACACAACTTAAAAATTACCCACAATCCAAAATGAAATCTTGAAAATACAATTAAAAAAAAATCAATAAAATTTAACAAATTAGAAACTTAAACAATAGCTCCATGCCTAAGCAAGATTAGAACAAAGTCTTTCACCGACCCAGATCAGATTAGTTCAATTGCGTCTGAATCAAAACCTTGAAGCACAGATTCATCTTCCATGTTTAAATTGCGAAGAAAAAACTTGATCAAAATAATTGAGGAAGTTCTTACCAGAGGAGTAAGCGATGCTCAAGAAGAGTGATTGTCTGAAGGACTTCTTCTTCTTCTTCTTCTCTCTCTCTTTCTCTTTCTCTCTCTGTTTTGGCGTGACGATGTTTCATTCGAAGTTTCAAAATTATAAAATTATACGATACGACTGGAAGTGGAGAAGAGTATTTGTCACACTCACTCCTCTACTTATTAATATATATATTTACACTACCAATACTTTAGTTTGTATATTTCGTATTTAGCCCCATATGTTATACACTCACACACTCAACACTACCTCTTTTGGCGATAAATTATCCTGATTATACATGGTTAAAATTATGCGATTTTAAACTTTATTAGTTAAATCATGGCCCCCCCTACTGCTCATACCATTGCTCAAATTGCTATGCCTACCTTCATTTTATCCCCCTCTGTTATAATCTGTGAGACACTTTGATTTGTTTAAAATTAATAACAACTGAAATCACGATGTATAAAATAATATTTTAGTATTTTTTCAAACGTATTGACAACTATAACGTGTAATATCTATGTACTTTTGTAGTACACAAAGTAATTTTTTGAAGAGTTATTTTAGTAGAAAGTTCATTATTTCTTTTCTTAGTTCCTAATACAAGTCCGATATATTTTATTGAATTAATCTTTTTCGTCATATATAAAATGCTAGGCAAATGTATAATATAAGCAATTCTTGAAATAGGAGAGCCTAAAAACACCTTCTTTTTTTTTTGAAAGATTACATCAATACACAACTTAAGATACCATAATCTCTAAAATCTCCTATCATATAAAAAAATAATAAAAATCCCCTATCGAATACATGATTATCCCCTCTCGGTTACATCCTTATACCCTCTCAGATACATCTCTCCCCTCTCGGATACATCCTTATCCCCCTCGGATACATCTATCCGCTCTCGAATACATCTCTCCTCTCTCAGATACATCCCTCCCATTAACTTGTGTATCATTTGCAATGTATCGAACAACCAAGGAATGTATTCGAGAGCAATGAAAATTTTGAAATTTTTATAATTGGAGAAACTTTCGAAATAAAATATAATTTTCCCGGATTTCTGTAAGCTTTTCTTCTTCTTCTTCTTCTTTTGTTTGGCCATTTGAGCCTTTTGCTTTTCAATATTGATCTATCTTTATGTGCTCTATAACAAGCCATCAAACCTTCTTTATGTAACCTTCTATGTCACATGCTATTATGATTAACCTTACATTTTGTAAGTTTATCTTATGAAGGAAGTGGTAAGGAAATAGAGAGAAAAGGGATAGTACTTCATATTCATTATTTTTCTCAATTATGATTGTTGAATTCTCAACTATTCACGATGTAATCATTATATGTGTCTAGGCTTTATGTTTGCAACATATCTTTTTATATTTTTATTCTTATCATTTTTTAGAAATGTTCATCTTTTTTTTAACTTTTTAATTGCTCAAATTCATAAACTTACTATCAAAGGTGAGAGATAATTATCACTCTATGCAATTCCCTTTGGCCAAGATATCCTTTTTAGTTATTACCACAGTTTAACTTTTTTATAGAATTCTCTGTTCCATAGATTCATAAATGGGTTCCAGAAGTAGATTTCACTGAGGAACAAATCCCTTGCCTATACAGAACTTATTATAATAATTTATGGGACAAGTTGATGAAGAAAGATCCTCAAACAAAGTCTTTATACGGACAAGAACTGTTGGATCTAATAACGAAAACCATACACGATTATAAATCAATTCCTAATAAAGGAATTATGACTGATGACTCAACCTCCGTAAAACATATGGCTAGAAAAATTTCTAATCATGATGAAGGAGAACAAAATGAAATGATTATGAATTATCTAGAAGAAGTAAAGAAAAAGATTCTTCTAAATATAAGTCATTACGCAAAATCAGATTCATCAATGCGTAGTGAAACAAGTGAAAATATGCACGAAGCACAACCATATGAAGAAGAAGCACCAGTGGATGCACTGAAGAAAGCCGAAGATTTTTTGGCAAAATTAAAGGACAAGATGTAAAAAGAAGTGTAAAGCTTATCCACGTCGGTAGCAGGCCCGCACTACTGTAGCAAACACTGTTCACCTACAGTAGATACACTGTTCACCTACAGGAGATACACTGCTCATGTACAGTAGATACACTATTACCAGGACCCAGATAGGGGCCCAGTATCCTGTACAAAGATGCTTTCTTTTTTCTATAAATAGGTTTGTTTTTCTTTAATTAGGGCAGGTTTTAGAAACCACCTCTTCTTGTTTACGTTTTTCTCTCGCTATTGTAACATCTTCTAAGTATTGTAAGCTTGCCGGACTTTGTTCGGAGCAATAAAGAGTGGTGTTTACTATAAGGTACTTCCTTTTATTTTCAGCTTTATCTTTTTATCTCTGAGTTAAGCCGTGACTATGTCCGGCTAAAAAATTATATCTATGCCGGATAACTAACTTCTCTTATATATAAACCATGAACGGATCTAAGCTTTATTTAAACATAGAAGAATTTTAGTATGGCTTCTCGACTTGGTTCTGAGATTGAGCTACAGTCGGATCTAGTACTACTTTTATTGGCTTTGTCTTTGTGACTCCGTCTGATGAGCCGTGGTTGTTAGCCCGAAAAGGAGTTTGATAAGTAGGGCGCCTGATACCCGGTTAGAACTATCAGACACATGGGTTCAATAAAAGTATGTATTAGCTTCTTGACAGGCCCTTTGCTTGGGTAAAATAATTAAACTATGCAGTCTGAGAAACTATGTTAAAATTCTTGTGTATTTCGATTCTTATGTAGTTGGACTATCTCTAAGGATATTGACTTGCTTGATCTATGACTGGGCGGACCACCGCCAGGTCAGTGATCCTGTATCGTTGGTATGTAAAAAGAAGTGTAAAGCTTATCCGCTTCGGTACCATGCCTAGGAACTTTCATGGTATATATAAATAATTGATGTGAAGAATTTCAGCATAAGATATATTCTCTCTTTTATGGATCAAGAAGATATTAAAAGTACTCGGTTAGAAGAGGTAGATATAGCTCAAAACCTTGATTTGTTAAACAAATGGACTATTCTGAAAGTTAATATAAAAACTATTTATGATTATGGTTGGTTTGATAAAATCTCAAATAAACAGTTGATTAAAACAACTGAGCAATCTTTGGCGTTAAACACGTCAGAACAAATTATTCGTTTATTAAATAAGCGTGATATTGAATTTTATAAATCTCAATATAAATTCTTGCATATTGGCATGGTTCAAATTGCTTTCAAGCCTTTGACTCTTAAAGGGTTACCAGAGACTTTCTTAGCTGCTCTTCGTGACGCAAGAAATCTTAATTTTCGACAGTCTTTGATGGGTTTGATATAATCTACAGTGGCCTATGGCCCAGTTTATTTTAATGCTCATCCAAATTTGCAGTTATCTTTGACTGATTCTAATATCTTAGATGCTTTAACTTTGAATGTTAAGACGCATGGCTATAACTATGCAGCTAGTTCTGAATTAATCTGCTTGTCATATAGAATTTATTATAAATTACTTGCTACTTTGAATCGTAGATGTAAGTTATATGATACATCTGATCAAACTATTTTGGTAGAAACTAATTTCGCCAGATTTAAGGTCACTATTAGAAGACCTATAAAATGGGAAGAAATTAATTTTCCTATCACTTGGATTCTAGATTCTGTTATACCCCTTGAACAACTGACAGATGCTGTCACCAATTCTGAATATTCTCATATTAGTTAAAATTTCGACAAAAAAATCTATATGCAGTTTGATGAAAAAAGTATTCCTTATAGTAGACATTCTTTTGCTTCTGATAGAAGACTGGCTATTCAACATATTTCTCCGATATAACCTTGTTATGGTCCAGCTAGAAATCGAGCTGCTTCATTACATACTTTATCAACAGTTATATCTGCAGAAAAATAAAAAATTAAAATTAATCCTCGGTTAAACATCGTTCAAACAAATGATAAATCATCTAATGTTTCTGATAAGATATTCCTTCTATATCCGATATGGATTTTAATTTTAATGATGCTTAATGATGAGAGAACATCAAATTGACTTTAGTCCAGGTTCACTAGCAAGAAAATATATTCAAAATGAATTTTTAAATGAAAAATGGAACCGGTTTAAAACTTGGTTTTTTGACACTTACAGTAGAGAAGATTTAAATAATATTTTTTCAAGAATTTTATGAAACTTGTGCATTACATAATCATATTATGTTCTTTGTGCCTTGGTTTATAACCACTTATTTACCTTTATTCATCAATGTTCTTGAACGATCTTACAAAGATGAATCAGGTAAAATTATTCAATCCATTTATCCTCCTCAAGCTCTGTTTATTTTACCAAATAATACGGGTATTACTTTTACTGCTTTTCATAAATTTATTGATAATGAGGTGCCGCAATAAGTATTTACGAGATTAATCAACTTATTTCTCAAAATAATTATTTGGGTTTGTATGTTAAAGTCATTGGTGAACATATTTGTTCTCTAGATAAGAAGTTAGATAATCTAACTAATCTTATTATTCAAATTGATGACAAGTTAAAATCAGCGAAACAAGTCTCTGAACAGGCATCTACGTCCAAATAGCCTGATGTCCCTATTCAAAGACCTCCTGAGATTCAGGATTTTATTCTTAGACCTCTTCATGATCTTGAAAGCCTTTTAGAAAAAAGTTTTCAGAATTTGATGCAAGTACGAAATCGATAAGCCTCGCTGATGATTTTGCAGATGAAATGGAAGCCACTTTCGCTTTCAAGACACAAGTGGAAATGGAAGTTAATAAACTTTATGGATATCCAAAGAAGAATAGTGGTAATACGTATGCTAGAAAACCTAGTATGCAAATTTACTATTATCCCAGACCAACTCCTCAAGATGTTTTAATAGAGGAAAGAGATTGGAATCAAACTAACACCTCTTATTGTGGAAGTGAGATTTATGAATGGAATCTCGATGGTTTGACTGATAGACAGTTAACT